CCGTACATGACCCACTATCAATAATCATGCTACAAATGCGATCTTTCACCTTACAACGGGTGTTGAACAAATTTTCCCGTTGTTGCATATCTTGTACTGGTTCAGTGTACAAGATCCTTCTTGCTACACAACAAAAAGAATTTTCATCTTCTTCAGGCGCACATTCATCACATTCACTGTCATTCTCTTCATCCTCATTCGTCACATAGCCACCTTCATGAATGGCTAGGGTGTTCCTTTTAGGACAATTGGTTGCAATATGTCCCTTCTGTCCACACTTGAAACAAGTGCGTTCCCCTCTATCATCTGCCTTGTTTTCGGGTTTCTTTGGGAACATAGGAGCTTTCCCCTTGTCGGAACGGTTGCTAGGCGTGTAAGCTTTGTAAGGAACACGGGATGTGTTCTTTACTTGACTATCTTTCTGTTGTGCCTCTACCTTACGAGCTGCCTTCACCACATCATCGTAAGTAGTGTAGGGTAAGAGATCTACTTTGTTGGCTATGACTTTCGTAAGGCCTCTAGTAAAACGAGCCATTTTCAATGGTTCCGTTTCTTCCAAATCACACAAGAGACTAAGTCTTTCAAACTCCTTCACGTATTCATCAACAGTCAAGTCACCTTGATTGAGGGGAGTGAGTTTGACATATTGATCTTGCACATATTCCCGAGGAATCCAACATTGCATCATTTTTCTTTTCAAGACTGCCCAAGAACTAATTTTCTCTTTTCCAGTACGTCTCCTCTTGGATTTGAGGTTTTCATACCACAATCCAGCTAACTTAGTGAGCTTGAGTGTTGCTAGTTTACAACACTTCTCATCATCATATTCTTTGTATTCAAAAATTGACTCAATCCTTCGAACCCAATCATTGAAAACTTTCGGGTCACTAGAACCATCAAATTCAGGAATGTCTAGTTTTAGGGTTCTATCTTCCCTATCTGGAGGGAACCGGTTGTACCCACTTTTGGGCGTGGGTTCTTCATCTTCCAACTCGGTCAACCTGCGATTATGTTGGTTGGTGGCATCACCTATCACACTTATTTGAGTGCGTACATCACGTATCTCCTCACGCAGCCCCTCCTGTATGGTTTGCATTGCACTCATAAGTCGTTGTTCCATCTCACGTAGGAACTCACTCTGGTTCTGGTTGGAACCTGTCATGGTCACACCTTGGCCTAGATCGTGGCTGAAACCGTAGCTCTGATACCAACTGATGCGGAAACGGATATGGGTTAAGGTGTTTGAGTGATGGGTTATGTGTTTAGGCTAGGTGCTCCTGTGGGAACTGGGTAAGGAAAGAACGAAGTTCCTGACAACGAGGAACTCGGGGTTTGATTAGCAAGGAACACTCGCAATACTAATCAAGGATAAGTATGGTTAGAGTTGAACACTCACTCCACTAACCATAAACAAGCTAATCCCGAACACTCCGGATTAAACTCACAAACTCGAATCCACGAGTTCAAGCTAAACTTGAATCCACAAGTTTAGAACAAATAAGACATAAAAATATCTTGAGTTGTTGTATTTCATTAAAAGTTTGATAGATGAATGAATTACAACCTAGAATAAAACTTCCTTTTATAGTCTAAGGAAGTAGCTAGTTACATTAATTAACCATTAACTAACATAATTAAAAAGGAACTTTAAAAGTCTCCAACAAAGAACTCAAAAAGTACCAGGGATACTCTGTGTAACGTTTCCCTTGGAAAATCGTTACATAATAAAGACTAGTAACTACCGAAGTTCCTTTAGGTGAGTTCCTGAAGGAACTCGCTGCAGCTGCGTCCAGCTTCTTCCTTGTAACGGCTGACTGTTACAGCCTTATTACAACAACTATAAATTTAGCTAATTACTCCTAGCAACTGAAAATTAAACATATAATTAACTAGTAATAACAAGCAATAAAACTAAGGAGTTTTAAGCTCCAAGAGTGACATCCAAAAGGGTGTGTAACATCCCTCTTAAATGCCCCATCAAAACCGAGCGTAACCTCCTCTTTATTCCCTTGCTTTGGCTGCCTCCTAAACAACAAGTATCCAAGAAGATCCTTTCCCCAAAGCAAAGAAAGAATCCAAGGCATCCAAGTAAACACCTTCTACGCCTAGTCATCTATCCAAGTCAAGCATGACTTGTATAATGACGAAGCAACATCAAAGCCCATGCGTTGCACTTTTTCTAACTTGGACCCATGAACGAACAACCCATGGACAATAGGAACTTGATCCTTTTGGACCCTTGAACGTGTGTTTGGCCCTTTTGAATTGTTAGGTTCATTAGCTTGTATGAGTTCCGGATCATGGATTAATTCCGGATCAAAAAGTGAACCAAAACACAAATTTTTCAAGTAAACTAGGTTCAAAAACACCCTAAAATCATATCAAATAGCAAGTTATCACCAGTCTTGCTTTGTTTCTGACTATAATACCATGTTCATCTAGTTTGTTTCTGAACACCCATTTAAGATAAATAATCTTTTGATGACTAGGTCTAAGTTCCAGATGCCAAACTTTATTTCTTTCAAATTCATTTAATTCAGCTTGCATGGCATTGATCTAGTCAACATCAGTTAATGCTTCCACATGATTCTTAGGTTCCATATAGGACAAGAATTCATATAATGGTATTCACTGATAATGGCTATGTCACTAATAATGGCATTCACTGGATAAGATTTTGATGTTTCCAAGGTTTAGGTTGGAAGTCTCTGACTGGAAATAGCCTTTCTTGAGTTGCATCATTTGCTTGCTCTTCTGCTGGAACTACTTCTAGAACTTCTACTGGAACTTCCTGTAGAGTTCCTTGTGCTTCAACAGTTACTTGCTCATTTTGATGAACATTGTTCTCTATTGCTTCTTGATTCGTTTCACCATCCTTTTCATACTACTACTTCTGCATAGATAATGATTCTTCATCTAGATCATACTTTCGTACTAATCCAATTTCGAAATCATCATCATCATCCTGTACATCCATCAATTGGTCAGTTTCATCAAAAATTACATGTACAGATTCTTCCACACACATTGTTCTTTAATTATAGACTCTGTAAGCTTTACTATTTGAGGCATATCCTAAGAACACTATTGTAGACATCTACTTTTGGTCCCCTGTCCCGACCGAAAGTGCTATGGCGATAAATAATTCCATCTTTGTGCTGGATTGGAGTAAGGAATGCTTATGGACTACTGATTAAGGCCTAAACACATAAAACTAACTAGCTTGACCCAAACGAAATGAACCAAAGCTCATTAACACTAAGCTCGATTAGAAATTAGGCCTAATCCCGGGATTAAACCTAATTTCGGACAAATTTTAAGCACCTAGGTTAAAATATAGGGCTATTGTAGGAAAATCCGCGCGCAACTCAAGGAGTCACGCTGGCTTGGCACGCGCAACTCATAAACTTGCGCGCGGCATCCAGCGCAACCCTTAAAGATGCGCTCGCAGAAGATCCAAAATACAAAAATATACTGAATCAAATCTTACCATAAAGCCATGCACAAGACCTGTGGTTGCGCTGCCATGAGCAACGCAACCAAATCACTTGCGCCCGCAGCAGCCGCGCGCAACCTTCAGAGTTGTGCGCAGCCACTTGCTACGGTAGAAACTCCAAAACCCTAAATCTCACCCATTTCATATAAATAGAGGTTCAATACGAGCTTTGAACACACAAAAAGTTAGCTAAAAGTCAACAGTAACATCGTTGTGAACTTATGCAATAATCAACCCTCTTGTCCTAAACACTCACCCTTTAATTGTTTTGTTCTCACGGTAGAGGTTCCCCAACATGAAGGAGTCTATAAGTGTTCAAAACGAAGAGCTAGCCAGGAAAAGTGGTAAATTCCCGAACACTAAGATAAATCACATTACTTTTCTTGTCCAAAATAATAATTATTAATTAATTAGTGTTGTTTGATCACTTTAAATAAATTTTAATTAATTAATTACACATAGTATTCTTGCGTTAATTAATTAAAGACTAGAATTGAATAATTAATTAATTGTTTTATCACCTAAGCCAAGGCGAATCTTGTTTATTTATTGTTCTTTTCACGAATTTGGAATAAATAAGAATAACGATAATCGTTGCAATGTAATCTTTATGTGATTGACGTGTGTAAATAAAATCAACTAACTTAGTTTTAGGTACCACGTTGCATATATTTTTTGGTGATAAAATTGTGAAAAAAGGAAGAGCTAGTAGAGGCCGCACTTGGGCTAGGATAGCGATTACACCCTAAAGGGAACTTTATTTTAGTACCCTTGCTCCCGAACTCATTTCTGGTACAAGTAGACCAATTTGGGCATAGGTAAACTTATGATTCATGCTAAATATCCCTTAAACTCTACTTGGGAGAAAGGCATGATCAAGGTTTATGAGTTTTCCTAAAACTCATTGGCAACTCCCTATTAGTTTCTTACAAAAAAGTGTAATGATAGAATCAATTCTAATTCAAGGTCCCCCAAACAATCAGGAATTCAAATCCTAACACACCTTAAAAAGTGTAAAGTCCTAGGCTTTAAAGGGCCATAGGCATAGGGGAAGTGGGATCCCCAACAATGGGCACACCCTCCTCACAACTGCCTCATCACTACATTCATCAAATTTTTCCAAGTTTCTCTTTCCATTGTTATGAACAAAACACTTGCAACCAAAATATCTAAAGTAAGAAATATTAGGCTTTCTCCCTTTGATGAGCTCATATGATGTTTTGTTGGTGATGGCTCTAACAGTGACCCTGTTAAAGATATAGCATGTTGTATTAATAGCCTCTGTCCAGAAGTTCCTAGGCAGTCTACTGGAAATCAGCATTATTCTAGCCATGTCCTCAAGACTTTTATTCTTGCGTTCAACCACTCCATTCTATTGTGGAGTCTTAGGTGCAGAGAAGTTTTGGTCCATCCCTTATTCCTTATGGAATTCATCAAACTTATAGTTTTTAAATTCTGTTCCATGATATGATCTTAGATGCACTAGTTGGTGACCTGTTCTTCTCTATTCTTTCTTCACAAAAGCAAAAAACTCGTCAAACGTTTCATCAAAGAAAGAATACCCATGTATACCTTGAGAAATCATCAACAATAACCATAACATATCTTTTTCCACTTCTACTTTGGATTCTCATTGGACCACAGAGATCCATGTGAATGAGTTCCAAAGTTCTTTTGGTGCTTATCATATTTTTAGATTTAAAAGAGATACGAGTCTGTTTTCCTCTAACACATGCATGACAAATTTTATCTTTTAGGAACTTTATGAATGGAAGACCTTCCACAAGTTCCTTAGATCTAAGCTTGTCTAGTAAAGAAAAACTTGCATGACCAAATCTTTTGTGCCATAACGGTGGATCATCCTCAATGACACTGAGACAAGTCAAACTGCTATTAGGAACTTCATTTAGATCCACTATATAAGTGTTCCCTTTACGAGTTCCTTCTAATATAATGTTCCCAGTGTCATTGTTGATGATTCGGCACGAATTAGAAGTAAATCTAACAGAGTTACCTTTGTCACAAAATTATGAAATACTTAACAAGTATTGTTTCAAACCCTCGACTAAAAATACATTATCTATAGCATGGGAACTTGACCTTTATGCTTTTCCAATAACAATAATTTCACATTTCATGTTATCACCAAAAGTCACAGTCCCACCATAGTACGCGTCTAGTGAGAGAATCTTAATTTATCTCCAGTCATATGCTTAGAACAACCGTTGTCGAGGTACCACGTGTTGTTCCCTCTCACCGGAACCTGCATGAAAATAAAACGTTAGTGTCAGAAACCTAGGTCTCCTTGGGTTTTTTTGTAACAGATGTAAAAACATATTTCTTCACCCATATCTGTTTAACATGATTCTCATTTTTAAGAGTGCTCTTATCTTTCTTAGGGAACTTGTTTTGATTATGCCCTGTCTTACCACAGAAATAAAAAACAATACTACTTGGTAGATCAACATACTTCTTTTCTTTTTAGAAATTTTTCTTATAACCTAGTCTTTCAGTTCTTTTAGCTTGAGCATTAGCAATCCAGTTAGGTATAGTATACTCAACCTTGCCCTTCCTAACTCTTTCAAGTTCCCCCTGAAGTCTAGCCTTATCCAATTTTAACCTTCCAAATCATATTTTAATTTTTCAAAATTAGGATATTGGTCTAGTAGAGGAACTTTATAGTTAGGAGTGGCACTGCTGAGTTTTAATAAAGAAATTTCCACATTCATTAGTATGTTATCATGTTTCACTCTTTCAACAGTTTCTTTTAATTTAACATTATCATCAAATAAATCAAAGAATCTCTATTGAATATCAAGTCTCATGTTATCTATCCATTCACTGTGTTCCTTTATGAGTTTTAAGAGCTTTATCACTTTGAGCCTTGGCCACATGTAAATCAATTAAGTCACCTTGTATTTCCATAACAGTGTTAATTAGGTTTTTTCTTTAGAGAAATGTTTTAATTGATTATAATCAAACCATACCTCAGCCTCTAGTTCCTTCAGCTTGGCCTTTTCATCTGTTTTGGCCATCAAACATAGATGTGCAGTTTCTTCAGGAGGTTTTTCTTCATCTTCTTCTTCTTTAGATTCTGAGTCACCCCAGGTAGCTATCATAACTTATCTTACATCCATCTTAAAGAAAGAAGGTTTATAAGTCTTTGTTTCCTTGCCTTGATCCTTGCCTTTGAATATTGCTCTATCATTTTCCTTCAATGGACAGTCCCTAATAAAGTGTTCTTTCGAGCCACACTTGAAACAGGTAGTCTCTTTGGAACTTGAGAATTTCTTGTTCCTATCATACTTTCTGTTTCCAAGAATCTTCTTGAATCTACTCACCAGCATAGCCATCTCATCTTCATCAACTTCAGAGTCATCAGTTTCCAGTGCCTTCAAAGCCAGACTTTTATTTTTAGAACTTTCAGCATTAGTTCCTAAGTGAAAGTTCAAGAGTCATCAAAGATCCAGCCAACTACTCCATGTTCAACTTGGTAAAGTCCTTGGTTTCTTGCAATGCAGTTATCTTGGATCTCCAGCGTTCATCTTGGGGAAGATTTCTCAACACCTTTCTAGCCTGTTCATCTATAGGAATGTGTTTTCCAAGGGAACCCAACTCATTGATTATATCATTATATCTAGTAAACATTTCTTCTATGGTTTCCTTAGGTAGCATTTCAAATCTTTCATATTTAGACATCAACAAATCAATTTTAGAACGTTTTACCTCGTTTGTACCTTCATAAGTAACTTCAAGTAGATCCCATATTTTCTTAGCAGACTTGCATCCCATGATTATATTGTTTTCATGGGGTCCAAGTCCACAGTGCAATAGTTTTATAGCTAAAGCATTTAATTCATATTTTTGAAAATCTTCCTTATCAAAATCAAATAAAGGTTTAGGAACTACCTCCCATGATTCTATTGTGTTCATGGGGTCCAAGTCCAACAATGCAACAGTTTTAAAGCTAAAAATCATTTAATTCATATTTTTTAAAATCTTCCTTATCAAAATCAAATAAAGGTTTAGGAACTACCTTGTTTTTCTCATTAGTTTTGGTTCCCTTTAAATCACCAGATTCAAAAACACACCAAACTCAATAAATTTCAGCCTTGATGAAGATCTTCATCCTGTTCTTCCAGTTGGTATAGAACTTACCATTAAACATAGGTGGACGTTGGGTTGAGTACTCTTCTTCAAGTTTCTCTCGATAATTCAACTCTCCTCGGGAACTTACTCAACAAAGTTATTTGTTATGCATGAGAACCCGCTCTGATACCAATTATTAGTTTAGATGAACTTCTACATGGGGGGTGAATTGTAGTGAGTTCCTAGTAGCAACTTTTCGCAGAAATATAAAACATAATATTAAAGAAACTTGCAATGCACACAGAATTTTACGAGGAAACCTTCCAAGGCCCAACTGGAATTAAAACCTCGACGCTCCAAGGGATTTCAAAACCAAACACTTCACTATAATAGGGAAACACTCCTAGTTACAACCTATTACAATCACAGACCTTTCTCACAAGTTCCTAACTGAACTTGCTACTTGCAGGCGTAATTTAAAGCGCGCCTACCTAAGCACGTTGTAAATATTCATGGCACTCTTAGGAAGTGGGAATTAACAAACGATTAGGAACAAAGCAAAGTAGAGAGCAACCAACAAGTTTTTAAGGAACTTGTAAACCGTTCACGAATTATTTAAGGCAACCACGATTAAGGGACAACGATAAGAAACAACGATTAACCCGTGAAGGTTACACCCTATTCATAATCCATGAGATTACTAACTCCATATGGTCCAGAACCACGAAAGGAGGATCGGGAATGACGGTACGAAGTGAGTCATGGAGTCACATTCGCCCCTATTGACCTCTACTCGATTCTTATTGCGAAAAGTATTTCCTGCGATCTAAAAGGCATACAAACAAATATTCAATTTGCTCCAAACTATTATAAAGCTAAATTGGTTGAATGTTAATGCAACATATAATTCTAAAATATTATGATCGCTTTAATTAACAATAAGATTAAAAAGGATCCATCCTAAATCGTTCGTCCAAATTATCTTATTAGGCGTTATATTCAATTACATATTCCTTTTAAACATGCAATACAATGATCAATACAATAATATAACAACAATAATATTAGAAGCAATTTAACCATAATAACATTAGTCAAATCAAAGCATAATAATAACCCTAATCATGATACTAGCAATAAGAATAATAATAAGAGTAATTAAGTGAATTAATTACTCAAGTTCCACGCTTCTTTAAATTGCTACATCATGAATAAAAACGTTAGTAACTTCAATAAATATATAAAATTGAAATTAAATAAAAGTAGAGTTGATTTGGTCTAAACCCTCAATCGGTTCTACCTTTCACGCCTTGGTTTAAGTATGGAACTTCGGGTGTTGTATGGACTCCGGGGAGTGCTTAGGGGACGAATTGTGTAATTAGGAAAATAAGTTTAATGCTAGAGTATGAAAGAGAAGAGAGAATGTGTATTGGTGCCCCGAAACTAAGAAATCAGCCTCGTATTTATAGAGGAAATGCGAGGGGTGAGGCACGAAAACCCTAGAAATGAGGTGTCGTGAAGAAACAAACCCTAGAAATTGCCGTGTCACGGCACGAATTGTCTTGACGTACAGTTTTCAGTGGCACTGCCGTGGCACGACAGATTCTTTTTCTGGAATTCCGTCTAAATTCATCTTTATCCTTATATCCAACATTAAGTACAGGATATTCAGGGGCCGTTTCAGTGTCCCGAGATTATTTCAGATTTAGGGTTTTAATATTTATTAATCGGGCTTAATTAATAAATAAATGAAATGAATTAAAAGGGTTTGGGCTAGAACTGAGGGTTGGACTATGCTTTGACTAAATACTTGGACTGATCTGTTGACTGATTTGTTGAATGTGTTTGACTGAATATGGACTTTAAGCACTCCCGAGATTAAATACTCGACCCGACCAATAATGGCGGTGAAAGGTTGTTCATCATCGGGTTTGGTTTTGAGGAGACATTTTTAGGTGTCTACACTACTCGATAGGACCCTATCCTACCCAACCTAAGTCTCGGACTTAGATTCCTTACAAAACTGCCAGAGTACTAAACACTCGGCTTCACTCTCAAAGTCTACCACACTGTATGCAAAAGCTAATCACTCACCTAATACCCAAAATGTAATACTCTGTATTTTTATAATATTTTTATATACATATATTAATTATTTTATTTATTTTATTTATAAATTAAAATGATTCATTTCATTTTACAAGAATTTAATTATTTAAACATTAAGTAAGTGTGTATAAAATAATATGAGTCATTAATTGAGACAATAAAGTGTTTTTAATTTGGGTCAACATCAATTAAATTGATGGATCAACTTGTTGGGAATTCAAAAACACTTAAGAGCCCAACAAGTTGGCCCCAAAGGAGAAGTTAAGGGGAAGTAAGATTAGTAATGACAGTTTTGTAAATAAGTGTTTTTGTTTTAAAAGGGGAGTATAAATACTTTTGAAACCTTGAGAATTTTACGCTCTAAAATCATAATTGTCAGATTTCACAAAAACCCCAAAAGTTTTCCTCCTATTTCCTCTCTCCTTTTTTTCCTCTCTTTTTCTCTCTCTCTTCCACGCCTCTCTCTCATCTCTTCTCTTCTCTCTCGCCTGCCGACCACTAGTGACACCACCATCACCGGCGAGCAGCAGCCGTGCGCCACCCTTCTTCCCTCTTTTTCGGTTCAGTATTATTATGTAAAAAAAAACTATTTCTTTCTCCTAATTTAATTCTTGTTGTTTTATTATTTTAAAGCATGATTTTTTATTATGTTTTGGTATTGATTTTGGGTATTTTATGTTGTTAAATTATTCCTATAATTTTCAGATTTTGATTTAATCAATAACCCCAATTTACAAACCGTAGAATTTGAGAATAAATGTTTATGGTTAGGGTTTGATCCTAGGTTGTAGTGATTGTTAAATTAATGGTTTAAACATGTTTCTAATGAGTTTAAAGCCCTCAAATTAATGCTGAAATTTAATTATACACACTATTTTTTGATTATGGTGTTAGGGTTTGATCACTCATAAAAGGGGAAAAGGTTTTAATGATATAAATATAATTTCCTAGTCTATTAGTGTTGTATTATATTAAATAAGTATGCTGGAATTTTATTTAAGTCACAAAAACTAAGTCTTTTTAAAAGGATTTAAAGTACCCACTTTAAGAAAAGGTTATATGGCTTTTATAACATTAAATTGGGTTAATTAGTAAGGTCTAAAGATTATTATAGTAGCTGGAAATTTGTGAGAATAGTGGATTAATTATAGTTATATATTCTTATTTGTAGGAAGCTTTGAACTAGGTGATTTCTAGCGAGTGTGGCCGAGTTTGGGCACTATTCAAGGTAAGTATGTGCACAAGAATATTTGTGTATGCGTAGTATCATGCTAAGATTGTAAAGTATGATTTAAGTGATGAAATAGTAGCATGTTTGGTTGATTATATGCTTAGGAATTTGTTAGGTGTTGATTATGAATTATTATGCAAGCATGTGAATATGTTATTTGAGGCATGATACAAGTTGAATATGTGTGAATCATGGAAGTATGTTTTATTTTCAAGTATTAAGAACGCATGAATTTAATAAGCAAGGCTTATGTATGTTTAAAAGTGCTAAAGTTAGAATTATTGAGCATGATTCATGAATTTATTTCTCACCCATTTATTATTGGTGTTGAGTCAAGAAGTTAGTTTATTTATTTACTCACTCATGAAGTTGAGTTTGAGTCAAGGAAGTTTAGTAGTACATCTTATGCACCGAAGTAGTAATCGTGCAATTTTGTGCACAAAACTAGGCAAGGAACCTTAATTAAAATAAATAGTATGTGTTCACTAATTAATTCAAGAATTAATTGGAAGTATGAGTTGAATGTTGCTATGTTTGTTCTTGATTGATTGGTTGGAGTCATCACATGTTAAATTGGTAAATCACGTAAAGTGTAAGAGGATACGCACTAAAACTCTTGGAATGTATACACCTTGAGTATGAACACATGAGGGAGGGAGTTATGTGACTTTATATTTGATCATCGCTTCTACAGGGCTACAGAACGCTGTACTTTCTTTTATTATTAATGCGCTGGAATTCCGTCACAAGGCGACATAGCAGGTGCCCATTGGGGTAGCTCCCTAATTGGAAGCTCAATATTTAATGGGCTATTTTTAAGGAAAGAAACCCGTTCGATGGGTAATCCAAAACTATTATTCAATAATTAATATCGCTAGTTATGACTCAAAGGTAAGTTGACTTGTGATTGTATGGCGAGGATGTTATAATTATTTTTATTGATTCTAGGATATTCACGTTAGTGTGGTGCATATGTACTCAGCTTTTGTCGATTCGTACTTTTGTGTTTGTGTTTGGATTTCCTTTGGATTGGCCCTACTATGATCCATTTATATGGTGAGTAGAGGGGTTAAAATAAAGAGAAAGTGACTGGTATTTGAAGCATGAAGGGAATGAGTGTAGAGAGTTACTTGTTATGCTTTCTTAGTTTTATATTTTGAATTGTTGGTTTATCGTTTATGGACTAACTTTGTTATGTTTATTTTTGAGTTGGTTTTAAAGGGTCAAGACTGAATTGGTTCCAACTTGTAAACGATTTAATTCTTTTGTTTTGAGGTTAAGAACTCAAGTTTTATTTTGAAAGTTGGTTTTATTTTTAGATTTCTACTGCGTGACTTTGAAAAATAGTCTTAGCTCGTTATCACGGTGGCGGTAATATTTTGGTTATTTTCTAAAAAGGGTTTTATTTAGAGTAAAATGAGTATTTTAAAACAAGGAAATTTCCAAGGTATTACACACTAGTAGAAAAAACTAAAAAGGCACCCCCCTATGGCAGCGGTTCATGAAAACCGTTGCCAACTAAAATGAGCGCCAATTAAAATTTCAGAGT